GATCCTTCCCACATTACAGATAGGGCTTCTTGGCCCAGAGGGGGAAAGTACTTGTACCAGGTCCCAGGGAAAGTTAACAGGGTTGTTGGGCCCTCACCCAGGAGTTCATCTCCTAGTCCTATGCTCTTCCCACCAGCCTTTTCCAGTAGGGGAAACAAATCCAGGCAGATCTTACCTTTCCCTCAGCAATCCAGGTGAGCCATCCAGAGCTCCAGAGCTTATGGGAGTAAATCAGGAAGCCTTGAGGGCAGATAGCCTGGAGGACTTCTTGACGTCACAGAAAGAAGAGAAAGCCAGAAGACATGCTTAAGCCCAAAGGATCTTTCTGTCTTGTCTTGTGTGGAACAGTTCTGTAACATGGCCCCAGCCCTTTCCCCTGAGGGTTCCTGGACCTAGGGCAGAGGCAGTCTGTGGTAGGGCAACACTGCTTCTCATGTGGTGCCTGTAGCCCCTTCCCAGAGCATTGTCTGCTCTTAGTGGTCCCACCACTCCAGGGTCCACTCACTTTCCCAGCACTCTCCTGACCTGCCTTGTGTGCTGAGGTGCCATAGGGCAGGATGCTGCATCTTGAGAAAGTCAGCTGGCGGTGTTGAGGATGATAATGGGGGTTGGGGAGGGGCTGGGGGGCCCCTGGTCAGGAGAAGAGAAGCCTCTCCCTACAGCATGGGGAAGGGGTTGAGGAACATGGGGAGAGAGACAGACATACACTGAGGGAGAGCTTGTCCTGGCTCTTGGGCCTTTCAGCCAAATTCCCGTAAGCTGAGCTGCAGGCACCACCTTCGTTAGAAGCCCAGATTCCTCAGGCCTGAGTGCATACCCTTTCTGCATTCTGGAAGCTTAGCTCCTACACACAACCCTCAAGCCTGACAACGCTGAGACATGGTGGGCTTAGGTTTGAGATCTTGCTGTCTCTTGCTCTGTTTTTCTTCTCCTGCCCACAAAATTCCCTTGAATAAAGGGTTAAACTGAGGAAAAAAGGAGGTGGGCTCAGACTGCCCACTGCTTCTTTCTAGAGCCTGCCTGCAACCAAGGGGCCTGGCCTCCCACAGCCCCTCCTCTCCCATCCCTACCAGTCCCTGTGGCTTTTTCCACTTGGAAAATCCTTTCTGGTGAGTGGCAGGTTTGGGGGCCCTGGTCTAGTTTCCTTGCCCTTTCTCCTGGGTAGTGCCCCCAAGGAAGCCCCTGTGAGCTAAGATCGATTCAGTCTCAGCCCTGTCCCACCCCCTGCCTCCACTGGCATTGCCAGCAGCCCCCTACCTCCTGCCCCTGGGCTGGAGGACAGGGAGAGGGCTGAGGGGCTGGCTCTGCATACTAATGTCCTGCCCATTGTCAAAGACCCTTTGTGCCAGAGAGCTCCATTGAGGCGGCTCTGGGGCGGGCACAATGGGGGCTCTGTCCCCAAGTTCCCCCAAACAGTCACCTGCTTTCAGAGCCTGCCCCCACCACCACCCCCCCACACGCCCCAGTGTCCGGAGGGCCCAGAGAGCATGGCGGAGTGGGCCCAGAGCTGGGTTGGGGAAGGGGAAGGGCAGGAAGCACCCCCCTTCTCCTGGGGAGGCTGGGAAAATGGGCACATAGAGGGGAGAGGCCCCAGCTGGCAGAGCAGGGGCAGCTTGTGAACAAAGTTGGAGAAGGAGAAGGGACTCAGCCTGCCCCCTCCTTGGCTCAACTTGCCCAGCTGGGCCTGGCTGCCACCTCTCCTCCCCCGCCAACTGCAGGGCTCATATATGCGGAGGCACACAGCACACACTCATCTATGCAGCTCCACACATGGCACAGGGAGTGGATGTGCCCAGACACAGCAGTTGCCCCAGGCCCACAGACCTGCACAACTGCCACCATCCACTCGCAGGTGCCCCTGCACACCCACCCTCCACCCACCCCCCTTTCCCCCTTGTACCCCCTCTACCAGCCTCAGCCAGCTCAGCACCATTCCACACCCCCTCCATGCCCTCACTGCCCTCTGCTGCTCCAACACAGGTTATAACAAGTTTGCACTTGTTGTGACCTCAAGAATGTGGCCCTGGGGCAGGGAATGTCCGGCTGCCCCAAACCCAACTGCTTATATGTTAACCAGAGACATGGCCTTTGTTGAACTCTGAGCATGGTGCCCCCCACCTGACCATGAAGGAATTGGGTGGGCTAAGGTGCTTGTACCCAGCTCCCTCCCACCCCCACCTGAGCTGAGCCAAGGAGGAACTCTGTGTGAATGACCAAACCCTGGACTGCTCTAGCACAAGCCCAGGGGAACCATCCTTGCATTTGCCCAGCGCACATAGATAAGTCACAGCCCCTCATGACCCTGTGAGGTAGATGGAACAATTATCATTTCCCTCATGAGAGGTGAAATGATGTGTCTAGGTGACCAAGCTGGAATGAGAATGGAAGTTTCTTATCTCTAGGTGTTTTTTATTGTGTGTGTGATTTTTGAGGGTCATTATCTGCTTTGTGGCTTCATTCAGATTACCCCATAGGGAATTTTCACAGAGTTATTTTTTACCCACCTTCCTTGGGAAGGAGTGGGAGCATGGTGGGGTGGGAGGTGGGGTGAAGAGCGAGACAGGAACCTTAAATAGGATTCTAAGTCTAGAAAGAACCTCAAAAGGTCACCTTGACCCTTCCACTGCCTCTAGGCTGGGTAAGCCTAGATATTTTCATTCCTTACCCTCCTCTAGCCCTCCTCCCCTCCTGACTTTGGATGGCTGGAGAGAGAGAAGCCCCACTGCCTTCTTGCTAGGGTTTAGAGTCTGAGATCTCTATTGATTACAAGTCCTTCATGATGCCTGGCTCTGATTGTCCCTGCTAATATCCTATGTCTGTCTGTATAAAGATCTGTAGGATGTGTCTATTCCTTTCCTACTATTCTGGTCTGGGGCAACTACTGCAAGCCTGGAGTAGGTGCCCTAAAAAGGGAGTTAGATGGAGGGCTCACTAGAACCCCAAGAATTTGAAGGCTACTGTCACAATACTGTGCTGGGACCTGGGGTGGTAGATGGGGTAACAGTGACAGAAACTCCATCAGATAGAGAGCTAAGCTAATATTGGTTTGTGTATTTGCTATTATCATCAAACACTGATCTCCACGATGTTTCCCTTACATTAGAATGGTAGACACCCTTGCAGGACCCTTCTACTCCTTAACTCTACCCCTTACTTAGAATGCTCTCTCTGTGGCTACAGGATTTTACTTAAGTCACCTCATCCAGAACACACCTTCTCCACACTTATACTCTGGTATGGTTCTTCAGCCTCCAAATGCCCATTCTAATGCCCACTGTTGGAGAAAGAGGCCCACCTTGAGTATAACTTCAACTCTCACAGCTCACTCAGGCAGTTAGCTACTGAAAAGGGGAGAACAAGGATATAGTAACCTTTAATCTAGTTCTGCATCTAGGCAGTGTCCTCATGCTACCCCTACCCCATCCTTCTCTTAAAACAAGGAAAGTGGGTAAAAAATAAGTAGAAAGTTGGAGAGTGAGTAGAGAGATTTCTACCTAGATGGTCCCCTTAGAATTTTCTGTGTGGAGTTCAGAGGTTGCTCTCCATACATGAACTAGGAGCTCTGAAAAGGAAAGAAAGTAGAAATAACCCCTTTCAGGGAAGGTGGCTCAGTTTCCTGAATGTGCATCCTAAGTACAGTGTACCTATGGGTCTCTATCTCCACCAAGGGTAAAATAAGGATAAATTGCTTAGGCAACAGCAGGTAAATTTTGACATAACAAGAAAGCATGTCCTGGGTATAAGGTATTACTAGGCATGGAAATGGAAGGAATGGAAAAAGGTGGAAAACTCAAACCCTCTGATGAAAAAGAGAGGTATCCTATTGAAGAACGGCTGGTGGCCAGGGAGCAGAGATAGTTCCAAGGTCGCACAGAGCCCTTGTGGGCCGTGGGATTTCCAGCTGTCTCAGAAATGTCTCTTGCCCATTTTCATACTCCCAGCAGAGGTCATCACTGAATCTGTCCCACTCCCTATGGGCCTGCTATTTGCTGTTTTCATGATCTTGATGGTGTATTTCTGGGCCAGCTGCTAAAGGGGTGAGAAGGGTTTCTGATACCTGGTGATAGGCCAGGCACATTGGACACCTCCTGGACTGTAACTGTGGTTGGACAGGGGAAGAATCAATGGATAATGTTCCAAGGTTGGCTCCTCACCACTTGGCCCTTCAGCATCTGAGGGTCAAAAAAAAATCTTGTAGGAAGAGGGAGGTTGGGGTGAGAAAGAAGTGCAGGGTTATTGCTCTAATTCTGATTAAAATCACATGTGCTACTAGCCGGCTATGTGGTTATGTGAAAGTTACTTAGCTTTTCTAGACCTGGGTTGCTTCTTCAATAAAATGAGGGAATTGAATGGGATGACCATGAGTGCCTCCCAGCATGGATATTCTATGACAGTACGGTGACAAGGTGAAAAGCATAGACTTCTGTTTAAACGGACCTGGGTTCAACTTCCTAGTGGGCCTCCTGGGCAAGTCAGCTACCCTTTCAGAGTGTGGTTTCCATATCATCAATATGAGGTAATGGCACTATCCACTTCCCAGGGAGAATAGGATGATGTGGTGCACAATCTCCCCACACAAGGCTGGCTCACTGTAGGAGCTGAGGTGGGGATGTCCATGGCACTATGGGAGCATAGAGAAGGGGCCGCAAATCCTAGTGGGGATATGGGCATCTGGAAGGGCTTCCCAGAGAAAGTGACATCTAAGCTGAGGCCTGAACTGGATGTAGAAATTAAGTAAAGTGAGAAGAGGAAGAGTGCTCTATAGCAAAGGCCCTGTTATTTGCCAAAAACTGTTGGTAAGAGAAAGCAGAACCTAGTTCAGGTTATAATGGCCTCTGTTCCACCTATAATTCAAGGGGCTTAAGATCTGATGCTCTTCTTCTTCCCCTCTGCCTTCCTTTTCCTACTCTTCTTCTTTTCTCTCAAGTCTCAGTGCTCTTGTCCTTGGTCACTGGGCACAAAGAACCACCGGGCTCCTCAGAAGGACCTTTTTGTTCCAGGGAGAAGCTCAAGTCCAAAGTTGTCCAACTCTAGAGGAGTATCTGGCCCAGGTGTGGAGTTTTCTGCCTCTCTGCACTGTGAAAAAGGAATTCGGCTCCCCACAGAAGACTCTGGATTTCTGGCATTGAAGCCCTACTGTTGAGTATTGTGGGCCTCCTTTGGGCTTTCATTTCCCAATGTGGCCCCCTCACTAGAGAGAGCTGGGAGAGGGCAGTGAGGAGTGAGGACAGAGGGAGACTAGAGAAAAGATAGCTCTTCAGCCTGACATAAAGGCTGATGGGAAGAAAATTAGTGCCCCCGAATGCTAGGAGGTTGAAACTTCAATAGAAATCTTAGAGGGAGAACTTCCCAAGGAGGAAGCATGTTACACATCAAAAAGGAGTCTGAAGGAGGAAAAAGAAATGCAGAAGACCAATCTTATAGGGTATTTTAAGACAAGAAATACTTAGCCAAAGCTCTATTAGGCACTTAGGAGAACACAAAGGTGAACAAAACATAGATTAAGAATTAGTTCAGAAAAGATCCTTCTATTTGGGAAGATGGGCATGGTTCTTCCTGGAAGGAGTGTTAAGATGAAATTACTCCTCTGGAAGCTGCTCCTGAAGATGCTTCCATATTGGAGAGTGGCTCTCCTACCTCCCCGCTACACTGCCTCTTGGACACCCCACCAACTAGGCCCAAGCCCTCCCTCATCACTAGCCAGCACAACCTATAAAACCACAGAGAAGAAAGTGTATAGAGAAGGGGCCTTCAGCTGGGATTTAGTTGGCCTGCCTTTCTTCTCTCAGTAGCGAACCCTGCTGGTCCTGGGACTGTAAGGAACAGGTCTCATCAACATGGCTCCTCTTGGGTTTCTCAGACTCTAGTAGCATATCTGGTGACAGCTCAGTGGCTCGCTGGCCTTCACCCCAAAAACCTTATCTTCTGAGACCTGGCCATACTGGGCTTTGAGAAGCCTGCCAGCTGTCTGGAGCCACCAAGGCTGGGGACAAGCAGGAGGGCAAGGGGCCAAAGGGCAGTAGCTAAGGAACTTGGCTCCATGCAGCATCCCTCACTGCACACCCTGTGCCTCTCAGCAGGTGGGGAGGTTTTCGGAGGGAGCTGCCTCTCAGGAATTAAGGGGAGGTGGGATGAAGTATAGTGGTTGGAAGCCTCCTCCAATTCTGGGGCTATGAAAAATCCTGCCCCACAAATCACTGTTCCCCTAGAGAAAGGAGAAATAAGGCAGGGGTTAACCTTGAGCATCATCAATCCCACTGGGGTGTGGAGAAACAGTATGACTAATGTCATGAGACTGGAGACAGAGGTTTTGGCTCAGCTGTTAAATAACTGTTAGCAAGTTATTGTACTTTACCTGTTTGAGCCCTTGTTTCTCTAATATAGAAGATACTTTTTTTCATCTGCAAAGTAGGATAATAATAATATTTTATATTTGTCTAAGGGCCTTAAAGATTTCCCATACTTTATCTCATGTAACCCTGACCACACAATGGAAGGTTTTATTGCCTCCTTAGGTGAGGAAACTGAGCCCTATGGAGATTAAGAGATTGACCAGAGTTTCCATTAGCTAGTAAATGACACAGACCATGATGGCAAATAGTGGGAAAGAAGAACAGAGAGACCTTTGGCTGTGACCCAGACATGCCAGGATAACAAATAGGTTTCATTTGCTAGGCCAACTCCATTTGATTGAAATGGCTCTCTGTATCACCATGTTGAGAAAGATTCTGAGGCTCAGTGAAAAATAAAGTATTGTGATAAATTAGTGATATCTGCTAAGGGCAATGGATAGGGTAAATGGTGGCCCACATGCTTCATGGTTGATATTCCTAGCCCAGAATCAGAGCAAGGATTTCAAGTCCAAGTCCTTTTTTATACTAATCAATTCAGCTCAAGGAAAAGGTACCAGCTTAAAAAAAATAAAACTAAGATATAGTCTCTGCTTTCAGAGAGCCCACAATTTTTCAAGAAGGACAAAGATGTGCTATATTGATAATGTGGCAAAATGTCCGAGCAACACAGAGGGAGAATAAGTCCTTGTAGAGGGCATTCTGGGTAGAGGGACCTGCATAAGCAAAGACATGGAACATGAAAGTGGAGTGCAGCCATGTTTTGAAGAGCGAATGAAAGTATCAAAGGAAACACTGAAAATTAGGGTGGAATCAGATGGTGAAGCATTCTATATGCTATGTTAGGAGTTTGGATTTTCATTACAAAAGCTCTGGGTCTCATTAAATGATTTAAAGCAGAAACAATTTGAAACGGCCCTATGGCAGCTGGGGTGGGTAGAGATGAGGAAAGTGAAGCTGGGACAGGAAGACCAAGAGATCATCGCAACATTTGAGGGGAAAGAGAACGTGAAACTGAACTAGGGAATCCTCTAAGGAAATGGAGAGGCACCCACAGAGGCAGAATTGCTAAGACCTAGTAACAAACTGGTTGAGGGGCGAGGAGAAACTCAGGGTACTGAATGGGTGGTAATGCTGTGAACAAGTCAGGAAACAGAAGAGAGTCCCTTCTGAGAAGAGAGGACAAGAGCCTGAACACTGAAACTGGAATGCTTCACATAGGGGGAGCCTGTCAGTACTTGAACAGATAGGCAGAAGAGAGGTGGAATCCATGGGAGAGGTTGAAACAGATTAGGAAGGGAGAATGGAGTGGGTAGAGATCACAGCCAAGGGTGGATCCCTGAGACACACCAACAAATAAGGGGCAGAGGAGAGACCACAGTCAGAGAGATGGATCAAAAGTAAATAGAATGAGAACCTTGGAGAACAATGTCAGAAAGTAACAATGAGACTCTCTTCACATTTAATGCTTTTACAAGGCTCTTACATATTTGCTCTCAACTCATTCTCGCAATACCATAGTGAGGAAGGTATTATTAGGTCCTTTTTACAGATAAAAGAAATGGAAACTCAAAGAGTTTAAGTTATTTGCCCCAAACCATGAAGTCTAGAATTGGCAGGGCCACTTAATGGCTATTCAAGGTCTGCAAAATTAATGGATTCCCATCACAGGAAAAACCAAATGAAAAAGTGTCAAGAGCAGATGGATTTGTTACCAGTTTCAAATGCTGTAGAGAGATTGCTGAGATCAAGGACTGAGAACACACCCTTGGATTTAATGATTGGAAGGCCAGCTGTGACCTTAAAGAGAGCTCGGTGCTGCTTAGCTGCCACCCAATCTGGTTGTGTGGGTCAAATGGAATTGCTTCTAATGTGTTTTGTAGGCTGCAGAGCTTCGTGGTCTGCAGATAGTTAGTACTCTTATTTTTATTTTATTAAATATTAGTAGGTTGAACCATTGCTGATATTGCTGATGTGGGACCCAATTTTTCAAATAGGCAATGTGATATGGTTCGACCTAATAGTAAAAGGAGTGGAGTGAGATGAGAACTGCCTATGAGAGAAGGCCAAGCTACAGAGCCAAAGGCCTCCCCATGGGGCTGGGAAAACCTGTCTGTCCCCTGGTGGCAGAGAGGTAAATCTTCAGTGCTGGGCAGACAGAGAGGGGCAGATACCTGGAGAAGCTTAAAGTTTGCAGGAGTTCCCCGTCACCTCCTGGATTCCTCTACCCCCATCTGTAATCTCTCCAGCCTCCTCTGCTGTATGCAGCTGGGGTGGGGGTGAAGTCTCCAGAGGGGACTCTGTCCAGAAGAATGTTCCTAACCTCTAAGCTGGTATGAGCCCCTTGACCAGTATATTTGGGGATCATTTGGGTATGGATTCCCTCTGTGGGGAGTCTCAGGAGCTGAGGCCAGATGATGAGTGATTAGAGAGCCAGGGAAGGCTGGCACATGAACAAAACATTCTGAACAGACATCATGGTCATCACCTCATTTCCACGTAACTCAGCCCAGACCCTCCGAGATCTCCCCCAGTGTTCTTGAAAACCTCTTCAGTATCTCATGTCTTACAGATAACAGTAGAATAACAATGAAAATAGAAGTTATTACTATTAATGCCATTGCTTACAGTTATATCTTAGCATTGATACTGATTTTTCTGGCTATTTAGTGGAGGTGACAAGAGGGGTTAACATCTTTGAGTAGATGTTCTTCTGAGGTGAGGGCCCAGATGGGGCCAGGCCAGAAGGCTCTTGGAATTGCCGGAGCTGAGGCTAGGGAGGCAGTGGTGAATCCTTTGTCCTCAGCTGAACTCTGTCCAGTGCCAAGCTCTTCAACAGAACCAGGATGTGCAGCCTGCTGCTCCAGACAGTGGGTAGGAGCAGACATTGTGGCCCGGTGATGACTCGGGGTGAGGGTTGCTTTGAGAGGGGTGGAGGGGGTGGGCAGGTGCATCAAAGAGGCAGTGCTCATTTGCTGCATGTGCCAGGAAGTCATCCTCCCTCTCCAGCTGGTCACAGAGGGTATCTCTGATATCCCCCTCACAGGGCAGTTCTCTGCAGGAACACCGTTCCCCTCCTGCAGGGGACAAAAGGCACTGCCTGGGATCAAGGCAGAGGAAGGGACAGTGGTCCTGATCAGCCCATACTGACAGGCAGACATGGTTTCTGGACAAAGAAGAACATCTGACATGGCCCCATCTCTGTGTCCCTCCCTTGTTTGACCAGAAATACACAGTGGGGTCAGAAGGGCCAGACTGAAGTCACAGTCTCCCAGGAAATGCTCTGGAAGCTTTTATCCTTTCTTTTGATCAGACTATGAGAACTTTCCAAATGTTGATGCAAGGGAAGAAAAGCCTATTCTTCCCTGGGCCAGGGCCTTGGTGTCAGGCTGAGGCTAGAGGATATGAAGGAAGGGGATGGAGGCCTGAGGGTGGGGGTCAGAGGCAACAGTGACTCAGCTGGCAAGCCAGGCCACAGACATACACACTGTCCTCTTCTTCCCCACCTCAAGATTTGTGTGCATCTGGCTTTATTTCTATTTGTTTATTTCTCTTTGGGGCAGGACAGGAGGGAGATTAACAAATAAAGACATCAAGTTTGGAAAGAACTCCAAACTCAAGTCCATTCTTCTTCTAACCTTGAGGGCTTACATAATCCTGCAGTGCTTTTTTTTTTCTTTTTTTTTTTTTTACTGGCCTCCCACTTACCAATCCCCTCTCATTTCTTCACCTTTCTCTTTCATTAAGAACATTTGAAAACCCAGAAATGCTTCTTTGCAGTCTCTAAT